AACATTTCCACTTCCTCAACATTTCATCCAGTGAGACACCAGCCGCCTGTGGCCGTTAGTCTGAGAGGAAACAACAACAAAAGACTCTTGCAATACCATTATTACCATTTTGGGTGCTTGCCAGCAATGCTCCAGATTACCTTGCATGGCAGACAAATTGGCAATTGGAACGCCAGTGTAATGGAGGCTAATTGCCTGAGTGCAGGGTTAGTTTGTATTTCATGCAAATCTCATGTGCACAGCAGTGAGACTTGGCTGACAAACAGGACAACCAATAGCCATTCGGAAGCAAAAGGCGATTGAAAATGGCTCTTTGACACAGGCTGTTTACTTCATATTCACTAATTATTGCTCACAAGCACTGATGGCCTCATTCTTCAATGCACTATTTCATGAGATATGCTCCCACAGCGGCCATTCAAAAGGCTTCTACAATCTTAAATTCTTTGTAACTGTAGATTTTGATGGTAGACAGTATATTTGTTTGGGAATCTGGAATAAACACAAAACTACATTTGTGTATCAAAAAATAAAATGAAAGCAGAATTATTTCATGTTAACAGAAGCTTTTTTTAATGAGATTACTTTGTTCCACGTATTTATCTATCAGGTTAAGAATATTTTTGAACATTTAGACATTAAATATTCCCCAAACAAGTGGCACGCTAGTATTGATATGATTTTTATAGGTTTGAGTTCAAATTGCAAGATAAATGCATGGAAAGTCTTTCAGATCTCTGAATACTGACGATTTAAATGGCACGGAATTTGAGCCTTTTGCTTTCAAAGCTGTGTTAAGCGCGTACATTGAGACATAGTCCTCTCAATGAATAGGCCAAACAATTCAAAATTCAGGCCTGCCTCACAATGCCATTCCTTTCTTATTGTTGATAGGTTTTACAAGGTCAAAACCTGACACTTGAATTGGACAAACCTATCACACCTCAAGGTCAGTTTAGGAGCTCTTCTGGCTCTTATCACATAATCAGCCGGAGGAGTTTGCTCAGTTGTTATGTCGTATGTCTACATTTGTAGATGTTCAAATCTACATTTTTCTGAGCACGTTGAGGACTTCTCATCCATGTTCGCTAAAACATAACCTTGAAACCAGCTGTAGATAAAAGACCTCTCCTCAAGGTCCATTTTGGGATACCAAAGTTGAACTTTACCCCAAACCTGAAGCCTCACCTCTATTTGTGATAACAGGTATGAAAAAGTTCACTGAGACACACCATTAAACATAGAGCATACAATCAACAAAACAACGTTTTCCCTGTTGAGAAGAACCCTGACAATGTGCTTTGTATTCACATCAGTCCAGCTTATTGTGGTGTAAGTAGGTCAGGTCATGGTCAATAATACAATATGGTTATCATTTAGTAAGAGATGTCAAGCAAGTGTGTTTCTAAAATAGACCCCTCTGTTGTGGGACAGCTGGAGAGCCTTTTGAGGTCAAGGTTCAAGGAAGATGTTACTGTACCCCGCAAGACTTTTTCCTGGCTATTGTCTGTAAGTCTGTTGCTGTTCATAGCATTCCGAGCCTGTGCAACACATGCATGCTCTGTGAGTGCAACAGTGCTGCTCTCTGGCCTCCTGAAGGGTACCTAGTAATGCTCCCCTGACCTTACCATCTGCATCACGCTACCATTTGGAGCCAAGATAAATCACAAAAGCCTCTGTCCATGCTGGGAATAGCTTCTTCCAGATAAGAAGGTCAGGGGTTACATTTCTGGCTAAGGTTGACTGTCCTAAGGGCTAAATAAAGAGCCTAGGGGTTGCAGAGCGGCACAGGCCCTCACACTCAATTAGGATCAAAACAACCAATCAAAGTTGAACTTGGATTTAGGTTACTGCAAGACAAGGAAGTGGAGCAGTGAACCTTCTGGATCAAAACACCAGTAGTGCACAGTAACACCCATTTCATCCTGATGTATTTTGCCATAACTGATTACTGGATTAATAGACAAACAAGGAGTGTCCAGTTTATTAATCAGTAGCAGCTGTTTTCAACATTAGTCTACTATTGTTACACTGTTTCTAAGGTGTTTGTTTATACTGCACTAACCCAACAGGACCTCTGACCCAGCCAGTGGAATGTGAGAGCAAAGACACAGTGTGGGAGGTCACCACTATCATTTACATCCTAAACACATGACAGGCTGTCAGGCCAAGGTTAAAACAGGTCAAGTTCATGGAGCTCAATACACTGTGAGGAGGGAGGTCTCTGTGCACATGCAAAAGCAAAGTGTTACTTACATCTGCACACACGGGCAGCAGATACACTGATGGTATAATGTAATGTATAAAACATGATCTTGTTGTGACTTTTTGTTCTTTTTTAACCTGAGTCAGGGATGTGTTGATTATGCCAAGTGAGGCTGTAATTTGTGGTGGCTTTATGTTTCGTTTCAATGTAAGGTGACATTTTGTTTGCCTCCAAACATTCACTACATTATTTTGCCTATGCACACACACGGGCCATCCGTTTATCGTGTGGTGATTCACCTTGATACTGCCGATTATGTGCAACAAGATGGAAAAATAGGGAGGGAAAAAAATACTTAAAATGTTCCCGATGTGCAGTAGACCCTCCAACAAGCCTTGCAAAACCATTCATATGAAAAGATCCACACTGAATAGATTTGCATAGAAAAAGGCAGAAATGTGTCCTTGTTCAAATTAGAACATGGTACGGCCAACCATTAAAAACAAAAACAAAAAAACCCACTGATTTTCAGGTTGTCCTTGTCATCATTTGATCCCTTGTGAAAAGGCTAGACAGTCATGCTGCAGTGATCAGTCAGGGTCAAAGTCATACTCCACTTTCCCTCCCTCCTGTGACTCTACTGTAGTTTTGTAACTCTGGCAGCTGGTGGTGCTGTAAGACTTGAGTCTCCCCGTTGCTTTTTCTGCTCCATAACAAGGCTGTCACCTATTCTATCCTCCTTTGTCCTCTCCCCTCCATCACTCACCTCCATACGTCAACGCAGAGCCACTGCAGCATCCTCCGCCAGCCCCCAAACCAGTCTGCTTCGATCAGGTGATGGGGGCCGTGCCCTAAACAAACTACACCAGACAAGGGGTAAAAGCAGCAAACTACATGTAATTTAAAAAAAATTAAAAATTCACATTCAACGTGCAAATTATTTCAGTTATCCATTAGAGAAAATGTGTGTTTGGAAACAGGTTGTGAAGCTAAAATCAATACTCAGATGTTGACACGGACAGGGACAGCATGAAAAAGTGACTGCATCAGTGGGTTTTTTTAAGTGCATGGTTCAATAGCGTGATTTCTGCCACTGGGTCATTTTTGTGAATGGTATTAATTGGGTTCCCTGTGAGGCCACACAGCCAAGGGCTCAGTTATGATTCCAGTAGGTAAATATTTGCCTGTACTAACCCTCACTAGGTGCCATAATGATTCTTTGTGTGTTGCACTGTGTACAATGCCTTTCTGTGTACATATCACTCAGTGCCCATGTCTGCCTGTATGTGTGATTGTGTGTGTGTGTGTCTGTGTTGCAGCTCAATCCCCCCCAACATTCCCTCTCCACAGCTGCAGCTCGGCAGAGTTTGATCAATAACGCGTCCTTCATTCTCAAGTCGGGCCTGACCTTGGCAGCCTTTTGTCTCCTTCCAGGGGCCAGAGTGCGCATGTACAGGTTGGAAAACAAGGCTCTCAAAAATCCACCCTTGGAAGGAAAAGAATTCCCCTCACTGCCTCCACACTACAGCATCCTCATTAAGAGCCTAATGAATCATATATTTATAGCGTTCTTATCTTAGCGTAATGAGGTGATGCCACTTTTGAACTCATTTGCTAAATTACCACAGGCCACGCTAAAATGGAATAAACTTCCAATTCCTTGCATATGCTGCTACATTCATGTTCACAGGGCAACGTCAATGGAGACGGCAGAGCCCATCCAAACCTGACTTATGAACAAAGAGCGTCTATGTGCAGTCACAGATGACAAAATGTAAGCTGTGTGTTCGGAGACATTTAAAAGTGCTTAAACATGAAGTCTGCTGCAGAGGGCAGTGGGAGTTGATCTGACAGATCTGTTTACATGTTAATGCAGCTTGACAAAGCCTGCAGGTGGCACCATTTAAAGATTAGTCCCGCAGTCGCTCTCTTTCTGTCTTATTCAGTAATGGATATTTAAATGGCCAGCAAGTGAAGAATATTCTTGCACAGGTACATACTGAACTGTTCCAGAATACTGCATTAAAACAAGCAACAAGTTACTTTTGTATTCAAAGGCACTCTACAAGGTACATCATTCAGTCACATGCTCTATAATAAACTTAACTGGATGCCAGCAAAGTTCAGATGCAGGTATATTACTGTATTAATCTAGGAATACTTTCAGAACAGTACTTATCTTCAATTTGAACACAGGCCAGCTAAAGATAAAAACTAAATGAGCATTTTAAAAAGTTGAGCTTTCAAGGAGAAATTCTGTTTCTGTTGTATGGGAAACATTACTTTTTTTAACATAACATTTTGAATTACACAAACAGCCGTTCATCAAATAACTTGTAATATAAAGTAAATGCAGGATGATGAGCACATTTGTACACAGGCCATTCAGTAATGGGTTTCTGCAGGCAAGTCATATCAAGATCAATTACCAAATTAGCACATTAGTACTGACAAATTACAAAATTATGTTCTAATCCTTTTGAAGCCTTGTGGTAAAACAGTGGTAAATTTGCTTGCTCCAGGGATAAACTTTGAGAATGATTTAGCCAGAAAACACCCATCTTTAATTCCACTGCTACAATCCCACTGGCATTGCAGAAGCCTGATATATTCAAGAAAGAAATAACAAGATATTACAATATGAACTCCATCTCCTCACAAGAATGACAATGTTTTTCAAAATTAGACCTGTTGAAATCATTCTGTTCAGACCCTACACTGACATTTATACAAATACCAATTCCCTTTTGGTTTTAACACCAAAATGTGTAAATAATATTCACCAAATCAGAAATAAATCAAAACTCAGGATTTATTAACGTATTCAAAAAAACATACATTCAGGACTTCAAGTTTTACATAACCAAAAACATAGGGCAGTTTTCCACTGACACATCAAACACTGGCAAAATAAAATAATAAATTCTGAATGATCTTCACTACACTTTCCTCTTCTGGGTGCTGATGTACAGGACTGTGGAGAAAGAGGAAGACAAAGAAAAACACATTAAGTCTGTATAATCACTGAGCAACACAATGACATGTCAGACCAATTTGAAAGTTGTTGACACATCATTTCTTGTGTCATCATTTGATGCGATCATGCATCACATAAAAACTCCTGAGCTTTCCAGAAATAAAGGGTACTCTATGAAGCCAAAGATCTCTGTAATAAATCGCTGAGAATATTGAGATCTAAAATGTAAGTTATAAAACAATGAAGGAAATTGTAGCACATCATTAGTAAAAAGATGTGGAAAAGAGCAGTAATAAGTCACAGATTTGGGACACACTGACCCACTGAAGCAGATCTCATTGTGGAGAAAAAAATTAAAAAGGTCAAATTTCTCATCCTAGAGTTGTTAAAGACAAAAATTGGTGTTACGCTGTAGACTGTATAGAAAAGCAGCCAGGTAAACTGTAAATCTACATTCTCTGTTAAGACTAAAATAGCCCAAATGTTTGGCTGTTGGCCCTTTGATCACACTGAGAACTCCACTGGCCAGCATGACTCACATTCAAGAGGGAATCACACAGTAAATACAAATGCATGGCTGGTTTAAGGACAACCTATACAGAGGGATGAAGATAAGGACTCAAGTAAAAAAAAAAAAGATTTTTCAAGCAACTGTTGGTGAATACAGTACATATAATAAAAAAAACACGTAATACAATCCTTTATTCATTAAAGATTGACAGCAGACAAAAGGGAAAAAAAGCAGGAGAACTCCCGATGTCAGTTGCTTTAAGTTCCCCACAGTATACCGTTGTTTGGACACAAGTAAAATACCAGGTAATATTCAGCCACTGATCTTTGCCAATTTAAAGCCTACACAATATTGCTTGCAACTTGGCTTCCCTTTTGTTCTCTGTAGACAATGAAACCATGGATGTGTAGGTATAGAGTAAAGTTAAAGTTGTGTCTATAAACTTTCTTCGAGAGAGAGCAAGACTCCAGACCTCCCCTGAGTGGTTCTGAATGAGCCGACTACTCCTACACTTATTCAGAGCACTCCTGTAACCCAAGTCCCTCATATAGACTTGTATAAGACAAACCTTTGTACACATGTAAGGATCGTGACAAGAACCATGGACCTCCTCATGTCTTGAAGTGCTGAAATATCTAGAAATTTGAGATATAAGTATATATTTGAGACTCTCACCATTGTTTCCTCTCAGAAAAGCATCTCCATACTTGTTCTTGAGCTGCCCATTGACGTACTCTTCAGTCTGCTCTATGGCAATGTTCATGTAACCATCCAGGCAGGCTAGGACACCTGTAGACAGACCATGCATGTGCAGTGTTTGGACTTTTCAAACGACTTTAGAGAAATAAGTGGATAAGTTGAGGTGCCAGCTGCATTACCTCTGTAGTCGACACCAGAGTTCAGTTTGACGACCACAGGTCTCCCAATTATCTGCTTCAGAAAGTCACTCGGCGTCTGCTTTCTTAGACTCATCTTAACTCTGATCTGAAATGGTAGATGAACAGAACAGTGACGTTAGGCGTTATGGTCGCTGTGTACCTCAACTAGCAACATTAGCATCGTTCCAGCTAACTAGCGCATGCTCGATTGCGTTCAATGTAACTGTAGGGGTTACTTACAACAAGTACTACATGTGGCAGCACGTAGTAAGGTTTGTAATTTGACCAAACACTAACGTAGTGAGTAATACCTAGCTTAATACTAGTAGACAAGTAGCGTTAGCTGATAGCTAATTCGTGAAGCTAACCCGCTAACTGCCAACTCTTTTATGAATATGTTTGTACTTAATGAAGTGAGAGGGTCGTTATCCTTGTAAGTAAATTGTATACGTTTAATGGAATCGATATGAACCGCACGTCACATTGAGAAAGTTGCTTTTGTTTTAAAATTATTAACAGTAGCTACATGTTTGATAGCATTTCACTTACCCGATGGACGAACTCCAAACGATTGTATTAGGCACGGACCGCGGATTGACCAATCAGAGGCGTGTACTATACGGCGTCTGCGCGAGGACAAAAATCTAAACAGCGCTGTAGTACAGATTGTGTGAGGCAGCAGTCTATGGGTGACATCTGTCAAAACTATAGACTGTATATATAAAACAAAACAAAAAAAAACTAGACAGACAGAACACTAGCCAAGCTGGTTATAGAGACGAACACAGTCTATGCATGTCTATCTATGTACATATTTCTCTCTCACATTTTTAGTCAACAGGTCAGATTTGCATCACAGTCCCATTGTAATATGCAGATTATCCTGTAATTTTATGTACACTGCACAAGTAGATATCACATTTGGGGCTTTTTTTTCTTTCTAAAGTTAGATATGAGAGGATAAGATGGTATTAAATTGAACATTTGATTTGTAAGTATTCTAAAATATTGTTAGTACAAATAGTCTATTCCTGGGGTTGTACTTGTAACATCACTATAATCCCAGCTCCAAATGGACATATCATTAGGAAAATCTATAACAGACTCTTTCCTTTTCGTATTTGGTCATTTGTGTGTTTTTTTATTTTTTGTATTTTCAATTCAGTTATAACTAGTAATCTTGTGGGATCAGGACCACAGCAATATATATTTTAGTTGCAGGTTGTTTAAAATCATTATTAAAAACATACAAATTCACTACCTGAAAAATAAGTAGTCATGGCAGTTTCAGCTAAAAACAACAAAATAAAAATAAAACAAACATAGGCTATAGAAATGGGCAATATGGACTGAATCGCTATTGTAATAATTAACACAACATCATCTTGATAAAATGACATAATAAACACAAAAAGTTTAAATGTTGACACGTTTTGTTTTTTCTGTACTGTGCTGTGACACAGCTCTTTTAAATTTTACTCATTATTTTAAATAGAAATATGAACCTTAACACATCAATATGACAATTTCATTGTAAAACTTTAATATAGAGAGATGAGAGATGCTAATGTTACATTTTACTCGTCCTTATAGTACATTAATCAAAGTAGTTCCTGGAATGCACTGAATCTCACAGATCTACAGAATCTGAGAGAGAATTTTGTTCCTGAGTTCCTGCACTAGTTTTACAGTACAGCCTCCATGGACCTGTGCAAACTTTTAACAGTCTTGATGAAAACTGGCTGCTGCTGGATAGTTGGTCACAGGACGTACAGTTGAGGTATAATCTGCTGGCAAGAAGAGCAATGTGCAGACTGTAAGTACAATAGAGCTGCAACAATTAGTCGATTTACTGAGTTATCTATTAACAGAAAATTAACCGGCAACCATTCTGATCATTGATAAATTGTTCTAGTCATTTTTCAAGCAAAAGTTCTATATATTTCCAGATTCTCAAATGTGATGATTTGATGCTTTTGTGGTGTCCGAACAATAATGCTGCAATGATGTGTTGAGAAGAAACCCGCTTGACACTGTTCTTGATCATAAAAGTTTATTAAATCGAAGAGTTCAGCATCAATTACAAGCTCTGCAGTAGCTTGGAGAGTGACCCAGCCCGATGACCACTCTGTCTCTCTGTACATCAAACATAGATTATATAGGAAATGTTTAGGTATCTGTTAGGTACCATAGAAGGGTTTAAGTCTGCAAAGTAAAAGGTCAAACCCATAGAAGGGTACAGTACTATTTTGAGGTAACAAAACAAGGGGTTAGAGGTCAAATTCTATAGAAGGGTTCAGTTCCTTCAACCTACATAACCACCAATCACTGCTCTCCCCGTAGAACACCTCCCCAAAGGTCACTGACCCTCTGTCTTGCTGCTACAGTCCTATTTTGAACTGTTATGAGTCAAATGCATAAGTATTGGATACTACACTTTACATATATGATAGACTGAATACTTTTTGCTTTGGGTTGGGGGAATTATAATAATTCTGAAAATGCCCTGATATTTGTGCGAGATTTGTCTGATTTTTAGATTTGTTCCCCAGCTATTAGACACTAACCTTAATTGAAATCTATTATTTCACATTTGTATGATTGTTTGCTTATGGTAATTCCTTTAATACATATCAATACGATATTGCTATAGTAATTACAGTCAAAAGCTAGTTAATAATAATAATAATAATTAATTAATCTTGTTCTATATTTTTAAAGGGACATTCAACTTGAAATATAGTATCTTCAAATTTGTTTCTCAGTGTAATTGAAACCAAACATCCTGGAGGTTTCAGATCTTTTTATTACTTTATTCTGCTATGGCCAGGGTATGCTGTGAAGGATAAGAGAAAGTCCACCATCTGATAAAACTCTGGTTGCTGGGTGCATGACCCAAACACTGCACAGCCTGGGAGGTACATGAAAAATGGTGTAGGGGGGAAATAGGGATGAAATGGTGAGGTGAAAGATAGAAGAGGATAGAGGGAAGGAGGATGTGCCAGTACATGTTAACAGAGACAGAGAGGTTGAGAAAAAGAGAGAGGGGGAGAGGGAGAGAGAGAGAGGGAGAGAGAGGGATTGTGAGAGGTGAAATCATAAAGTACTTCTTGTGTGTCTAGACAGGTTGCTTGTTAGCAGGGCATGGCTAGCCCTGTGGAGGCTAGAGGTTAATTTGGTATCTGCTGCTGTGTTAAACTAAGGTCAGTACTACAAGTCCTTAAGTCATAAACAAGAGTGGTTAAGAGCCATGTATACACCTAGGCACCGGTTAATGAATATTCAATGAAGATTTTTTTCCCCCTTGTCCCCCGTTCCCTTCTTTGTTGCTTGCTTTGAAAGAAGTTTTTGGAAAGGAAAAAAATCCCACAGTTTATCTCTGTTGCCTTCAAAAATGACCTCTGTGCACTTACATTTACTTGTCCTTTTGTTATCATAAGACATGGCCTTAGTCGTAATGGAAAGTGGCTTTTTGCTAATTGAAATGTGGCACACTTATTACGCAGCTCTGTCCCTGAATGCACCTAATGTAACTACCCATAATTTGATTGCTTAATACAATAAAAAAAACAATAATGTAATAATAATGTGATCATTTTTTCCCCAGGTCGTAAAGTTTGTGGTTAAAATAAAACTTAAACTTACGACCAAGGCTACGTATTCACTGGTGTTTGATGCAGATGTTTAAATATGCAGCTTTGTACTCGGATGGGCAATGAGAACTTGAACTGGGCAATCACAGACAAATCGGAGTGTCCAGGAGCCCCAAAATAAGTGTGTTTAGCTTGTAACCTGTGGAAAATTCACCAATGATAGATGATAATGCAGCTGAAATGGGGGTTAATTCTAAACACTGACACTGTGGTCTAAAATCATCGTCAACCTCACATCCCACAGATTAGATGTCAATGCTGGCCACACATTCTGCAGCCTATACATCATTTAGAATTTAAGTGCGTAGGAGTACACCTCTAAAATGCCAAGCCTTTTTTACATTCCCTCTAATAGCAGTTAGATACATTAGCATTAGTAGGTTTTGTTTTGGCTTTTAGCTCTAACCAATCTGATGGATGACAGTCAGTATAATGTATTATTTGACAATGATCTGTATGAAGTTATTTTGTTATCACTAGTAATTAGGCTGATTAACTTGTATACAAATTTCCTCTGACGACCTGTTTACAATTCCACTATTAAAATTTGTGTTCACTCAGACTTATATGTCACTCTTTTGAAGGTGTTTTTATGTAGCAAATGTTCCTGTTTTGTTTCCAGTTGCTTTACTGAATGTATTTTTCTGTCTTAATAAATAGCAATTGCAGTTTATGCCTGTTTTACTTTCATTATTTGTAATTAAAATGTTTTAATTCAAATCTGCTATATGTAATTTATTTTATTTAACAGTGGATCAAAGGGGGTTGCTTGGGACAAACCCACAGAGAATTATTAGCCGACTGTGCAGTTCCCCCAGCTTTGCAAAGCATTTCAGCATCTTTTAGCTCACTTTTGTGGGTTTACGGTCCGCATCCTTACTGTTTTGGCTGAGTCTTGCTATCATAAGCATTGTTTCCAGCTGTAACAGCCTGGTGTTTTCAGACTCTAAAAACCCACTGTACACTACCTGCCCAGCACCAAACAGCACACTGACAAAGTGCATCACTAGCTGGTGAACATAATGGAACATTTAGCAGCTAAAGAGCCAGACATTTCCCTCAGGAGTGGGAAGAGGCCCAAAACAAAGCTAAAAGAGAGTGAATACTGGACATTCGTTAGGTGTCCAGTAGTTCATTAGCAGTAGTTAAATTAACAGTGGTGGTAATATCAGTGTTAACATTAGGTTTATTAGCAGCATCAGTAGTTGTCCAGTGTATGATATTATATTGCTAATAAATTATATAATAATTAGTGTCCTCAATCAGTTATTTTATTCTTTCTGGTTCTTCTACTCATCAGCACTATGATGCTAAACTTAATTCAAAAATGTCTAAAACACTGACGTCTGGAAAAGTGAGTGACTTTTCTTCAAAAATGCTCCCAGAATGGTCAGCAGGAAAGGACAACAGTAGTGTTGTCAATTGAGAGACAAATGCTGTCTCCATCTCCGAACCCCTTAACCCCGAGGGGCAGGCTAGTGGAATAGAAAGATTATGGTGAGGGGAGATGCTATTGTAGGTGGGAAATAGGGGACTGGACCAAAGGCAGCAGAGGCTCGAGGTGAGTGGGAATGCGGGGGGGCATCCCTCTTGTATCCTAAAGCAATATGCAGGATTGGGGTGGAGGTGGGGGTCAGCTGTGCAGGATGAGGAGACAGTCTAGACTGCATTGACCCTTCTGAAGCCACGTTTTCTCTTCAGGTCAAGCTTGATATGGAGAAGATAATGGAAAAGCTTGGGGGAGTTTTCAAATAAAAAACAAATTGGTAGACAGAGTGTCCCTG